GTGTCCTCTTCTGGCCTGCAGACATACACACAGACAGAATATTGTATACTAAATAAATAAATAAATAAAATATTTGAAAAAAAAAAAAACACCTGCACCCCAAGAGGAAGGCACCGCACTCAATGACGATGGCTTGCCCAACCTGTCATCAAGCCACCACTGTATGCACTGAAGGATAAAGGTGCCCATCTGTCCTCAAGGCTCCAGATTAGCTTGGCTCCCACTGCTGATTTGATCTCTTTGAATTGCTATCTGTCATTGTGCTGATTGATTTTATGTGTCAACTTGACACAAGCTACAGTCATCATAGTAAGGATCCTCAGTTGAGAAAATGCCTCTGTGCAATCCAGCTGCAAGGCAATTTCACATTTAGTGGTCAATGGGGGAGGGCCCAGCCCATGGTGGGTGGTTTCATCTCTGGGTTGGTGGTCCTGGGTTCTATAAAAAAAAAGCAGACTGAGCAAGCCATGGGGAGCAAGACAGTAAGCAGCACCCCTCCATGGCCTCTGCATCATCAGCTCCGGCCTCAGCTCCTACCCTTGATGTGAGATATTCTTCTGTATATGTGTTGCTTTTATTGGTTAATGAATAAAGCTGTTTCAATGACTTAGCAAAGTAAAGCCAGGTGGCAAATCCGAACAGAGAAGTAGAGAGTAGGCAGAGTCAGATACACTATGTAGCCGCCAAAGAAACAAGAGTTAACCACGAGCCTTGTGGCAAAATATAAAATAATAGAAATGGGTTAATTTACAATTTAGTTAGTTAATAAGAAGCCTGAGCTAATAGGCCAAAGAGTATGTAATTAATATTAAGCCTCCGAGTGGTTATTTCATAAGTGGCTTCAGGAACATGCGGACAGAGAAAACCCAGTTCAGGGGGACCAGTGGGATGGAGAATATTTTTGGCTCCATGCTCTGCTTGACTTTCTATTCTGACTTCCTTCAGTGATGAACAGCGATATGAAGTATAAGCCAAATTAACCCTTTCCTCTCCAACTTGCTTTTTGGTCACAGTGTTTCATTGCAGCATTAGAAACACTAGCTAAGACAGTCAATCATCCATCTGTGTGATCCAGTCTTTCACAGAATCACCTCCACAGTCCCATGGTCTTGTGCCTCACATCCATGGCTTCCACAGGGAGTGGAAATAAAGTAGTGGCTTGCCTCCTTGTGATATTTGCTCCAGGTGTATCTGAAGAAAGATCTCAGTGGTGAAGGACACTTGGTGTTCTTGCAGAGAACTGGGTTCGGTTCCCAGCAACCATATAATGACTCACAATGGCCTATAACTTTAGTTACAGGGGATCCAATGTTCTTTTCTGTCCAACATGGACACCAGTCTTCCACATGGTTTACATGCATGCAGCAGGCAAGACCACACAATACATTTAAAAAACTTTAAATCTGTATTTTTAAATTATATGAACATTAGGGCCAGGTGGTGGTGGTGCATGCCCTTAATCCCAGCACTCGGGAGGCAGAGGCAGGCAGATGTCTGTGAGTTCGAGGCCATCCTGGTATACAAAGCAAGTTCCAGGACAGCCAGAGACAAACATTGAAACCCTATATCAAACAAAAAAAATGAACCTTAGGATGAGAAGGGGATATTATCAACCATTCTACACATAAATTGAATAATACACACTTTTTACATATAATGATATAGATAATGGATTGATATCTTAAAAACATAAACTACCAACTCTTAGCCAATATAAAATAGGCACTTTAATATATTTTATACTTTTTAAATTTTATTCACATGATTGTTTTACCTGCATGTGTGTCTGTGCACTTTGTGAGTGTCTGGTGCCTGGTGAGGCCAGAAGAATGCATTAGATCCCCTAGAACTGGAGTAACAGATCATTTGTGAGCCAAATGAGGGCTGGGTATCCAACCTTGGTTCTCTGGATGGTCAGCCAGTGCTCTTAACCTCTGAGGAATCTCTCTAGCACTAAAACTGATTATTTGAATACTTAGTTAGATGATTATTTAAAAAAATAAAACAAATCCAAAACAACTGAACTCCAGTGTGGGAGCACACATTTGTCGTCCCAGCATTTGGGAGGAGAAGGCGGTGGATCAGGTTTTCCAGGTCATCCTCAGCTATACAGTGATTTCTTGGCCACCTTGGGCTATATGAGATTCTGTCTCAAACAAATAGAAAACAAGCCTGGTGGTGGTGGCGCATGCCTTTAATCCCAGCACTCAGGAGTACAGGCAGGAGGTTGTCTGTGAGTTCGAGGCTAGCCTGGTCTACAGAGTGAGTTCCAGGACAGGCTCCAAAACTACACAGAGAAACCCCCACCCCAAAAGAAAAGAGAAACAAAAAATAAAATAAAATTGAGCTCATAATTTTAAAAACACCTTAGGGGACTAGAGAGATGGCTCAGAGGTTAAGAGCACTGGCTGCTCTTCCAACGTTCCTGAGTTCACTTCCCAGGCAGCACATGGTGGCTCACAGTCATCTGTAATGAGTTCTAGTCCCCTTTTCTAGCCTGCAGGCAGACATGTAGGCAGAACACCGTATACATAATAAATAGATTCTAAAAACAAAAACAACCTAAAAAACATCTTAGGAAAATAATCTTCAGGCCCTGCTAATTTCACAGGAGAATCCAACCAAATGTTTACTTAGAATTAATGCCCATGAAAATTAATGCTTTCCATAAATAGGAGACAAGGAACACTTTGTAATTCATTTTATGATGCTGGATTTAACCTGATACTGAAACCAAATTAGAAGGAAAGAAAGAAAGAAAGAAAGAAAAGGAAAGAAGGAAGGATAGGAAGAAGGAAGGAAGTTAAAAAAATTTATGTACATTTATAATCTAAAGGTATATATATATATATATCTTGATTGAACAAGCTTCAAGATGACTTTTAATTTTTCTTCTTTCCTTCTTTTTTTCTTTTTCTTTTCTTTTCTTTCTTTTTGAGATAGGGTTTCTCTGTGTTACAGCCCTAGCTGTCCTGGAACTAGCTCTTGTAGACCATGCTGGCCTTGAATTGACAGAGATCTGCCTGCCTCTGCCTTTAAATCCAAGTGCTGGGATTAAAGGTGTGCACCACCAACATCGGGCGACTCTTACTTCTTCAAGAGTCCTGGAGGTCTTCATCTCACTCAATTCAAAGGGGTCCACCTGCCTCTACATCCTGAGTGCGTGATTAAAAGTGAGCACCACCAGCACCTGCCTGTAGCTTTAAAACTCTGAAAGATGAGAGTTTCAGACAGTCCCTGTTGTGACTTTAGAACCATTTTCTACAGTACCTGGCCCAAAGTAGATAACAATTTCCCCACTAACCTGACAGACAGTAAAACTCAAAAGACCGGACAGTCTGGTATAAAAGGTGACGTGTAACTGTTACCAAGTGACTAGATCGTAACTGCTCTTCATGTGCTAGGGGCCTCTCTTTCATAGATATTCCTAAAGCATGTGTCTCCTCCTTCCCTTTTCGCTCATCTTACTGTCATGTATCATTACAATTTGTCATTCTACATTTCCTCCCGTGTTTACATAGCATCCTCATCCGACTCTATTCTCTAAGATAAGATTCTGTCCTAAAGTAGGCATATTCAATTACATGTGAAGCAATTGTGCTTTTTATTTCCTGTGTAGGTAAAACAGGGACTCACTGGGCACATGAATGTAAAATGACAGCAGAAGTGGGCACTCCTTCAATAAATGCAATCGTCCACCTTCAGATCTTTCTATCAGACAATTGCTCCTGGCCTTTTCTTTTTTTTTCTAATTATGCGCTGACTAAAGGAAGTTGCTAAGCTATACCAAGTTCTCTCCCAGCATTATCTTTGTATTTTGTTTTTCGATTTTTTTTGTTTGTTTTTCTGAGACAAGGTTTCTCTGTGTAGCACCAGCTGTCTTGGAATTTGCTCTGTAGACCAGGTTGGCCTCGAACTCACAGAGATCTGCCTGCCTCTGCCTCTCCAGTGCTGGGACTAAGGTGTGCACCACCACTGCCCAGCTTGTAAACGAGTTTTTATTGCTGCTGTTTTTTTTTAAATATTTATTCATTTATTATGCATTCAATATCTGCCTACATGTGTGCCTGCAGGCCAGAGAGGGCACCAGATCTCTTTACAGATGGTTGTGAGCCACCATATGGTTGCTGGAAATTGAACTCAAGACCTTTGGAAGAGCAGGCAATGCTCTTAACCACTGAGCCATCTCTCCAGCCCCAGCTGCTGTTTTTTGAGACTAGATTTCTGCACAGCGCTGACTTCACCTCACAGCGCTCCTCTGCCTGTGTCCTGATGCATCACCGCACTCAGCATTCTCCATAGATGTCAAACTCAACAAGGCAGTTTCATATTTTTGAGGCTAGGGGTTCCTGGACATGTTCTAGAGTCTTCTGCTGCACCGAAGAATAGATGCTAAAAATAGGAATTTATAAACTGGTGATGGTGGCTCATGCCTTTAATCTTGAAAAGCTGTTTCGAGAAACCAAAAAATTAAAATAGATCGGAATTTATGATTAATATTCAAACGCTTCCTTATTGATTTGCTTCCCTATGGGAAGAACTGGAATAATGTCTGATTCCTTTTCTTTTCCTTTTTGTTTTTTTCTTTTTTCGAGACAGGGTTTCTCTATGTAGCCCTGGCTCTCCTGAAACTCACTCTGTAGACTAGGCTGGCCTCGAATTTAGGCCAGTCTCTGCCTCCTTAAAGGCGTGCACCACAATGCCAGGCTAGCCAGATTCCTATTAATCGCGTAAGCGGGGAAAAGAGGGCGAGCACGGGACTAATTAGACATTCTAAACGTCCCATCTTCGTGGCGAACAACGCTGAGCTCTTTCAGGCTAGCTCTCTCTCCGAGGTCAGTCCATCCAGGAACACACGAAAGACTACAACTATGGAAGCCGAGACCTTTCACAAACGGAACCAAAAGCCGACTCCTCCAGGGAACGAGTGATCCCAAAACACCGGTCCTCCGGAAACACTTCCGGGCATAGGCTAGGCGGTCCACGCCTTCTCAGGGGAGTTTCCGGTTCCCGCCCATTCATTTCCGCCGTCCCGCCTCTTTTCGGCCTCCACCCGGATATGAGCAGTTCTCGCGAGAGCTGGGCCTCTTTCCAAGCCGGCACTCCGTAAGGTAGGTTCGCGGCCGGCAATGGCGCCGCGATTTTTCCGCGGAGGTCGGGGAGGGGGACCCTCGGGGGACCTGCCGGACGGCGGTCCGTGCGTCCCGGGCGGGGATGCGGCGGATGACGCGGTGTGCGCCCGTCGATGGCCCGGACCGGGTGCCCCGCGAGCCGGGTGACCGACGGCGCCTTGCTCCCTCCCCCCAGGCGAGCCATGTTCAGCTCGAGCGCCAAGATCGTCAAGCCCAATGGCGAGAAGCCGGACGAGTTCGAGTCCGGCATCTCTCAGGTGAGTGAGTGTGTCTCCCAACCTCCGGGTGCCCCCCCCCCCCATCCCCGGCCCGGCACCCACGGTCTCTGTGTCCGCCCGCAGGCGCTGCTCGAGCTAGAAATGAACTCGGATCTCAAGGCGCAGCTGCGGGAGCTCAACATCACCGCGGCCAAGGTGAGTGGGAACCCCGGGGCGCGCACGCCGTACATCCTGCCACATGGGATGCTACGATTTCATGCCTGGTTACTGACTCGAGACATGGACTTCCTGCAAGTGTCTCGACCCAGAGTGACTCCACACAGTGTAGTTGGGACAGGTGGGGTTTCTCTTAAGTTTTTGGTATAGGAGGGTTCTGTTTAAGGCCTATTTTTTAAGCGTGAGTGGTTGGTTGTATGTTTGCTTATGCACCACGTGTGTCCCCGGAACAGGATGATTGTGAGTGCTGGGAACTGAACCTGGGTCCTTTGGAAGCTCACAAAGTGCCATCCTCGCCCTGCTGAGTCTCCCCTAGCCCCGGGATGAGTTTCATGTGAAGTTTTTATTGCCAAGTTCATACTACTGTCTTTGCTTGGTTTAGAATATCGAGAAGAGGCTTAACACAGGGGATACCCAGGCCATGGTAAAATTTTAAAGTTTACCCTTGTGGATGATTTCATTATGTCAGAGGATCCTGAGGTTGCCCGTAGCCAGTCCTGGATGGTACGCCCCTGACTGGTGAGACAGTCTCTTGTAACTTAGGCTGGGCCTGATGAACTTAGTCCTTCTCTACTTCTCCATGACTGGGACAGTGGGCATGTATCCCTGCTTGCCGTTTGGTGTCATTAGTAAAGTAAACCGCATTAATGCTGGGATTACATTTTTGTGAGTTCTTCATTTTATCCTGGAGGTTCCACCTCTAAACCCTAACACTACTCTCAGTACCTCAAAGTGAGGGTTTGGCTTTAACTCATGAACTTCGGGGACCCCTAGGCTATATCTAAAACGTAGGAGAGTGTTGTTTGGGAGCTGTTACTGGGTGCATGGAATGGGACATTAGTTCTCTTGTGAGGTAGTGGATATTTCTATCCCTGTTAAAAGCCAGCCAGGTCTACACGATCTGCCTCACTATATTACATTGAGCAGTGCTGAGTGGGGGAAAATGGAGGTGAAGGACTTAATTTAAAATGCCATGACTTTTTTCTTCTTAGGAAATTGAAGTTGGTGGTGGCCGGAAAGCCATCATAATTTTTGTGCCAGTTCCTCAGCTGAAATCCTTCCAAAAAATCCAAGTCCGGCTGGTTCGTGAATTGGAGAAAAAGTTTAGCGGGAAACACGTAGTCTTCATTGCTCAGGTATCTGCTCATTGTATTCCAGACTTTTGGGGGTCGGGCCTGACTGTCACAACCCTGTTGGTGGAAAGCTTGGCATTGGGGTTAGAATATTGAAGTGTGTTCCCTCTGGAGAGGCTGCAGTCGAGGGTCTGGTGACAGTGCTTTAAGTTTAGGGCTGGCTTTGGTGTGGTGTGGGGGTGCAGTATAGAGCTGGTTAAAGGACAGTTGAAGCATGGTAGTATGCGGTGTCGTGGGCTGTTGTGAAAATGGGTATTGCTGCGTGTACAGCAGTTGGACATTCCTTAGCATCCTGACATCAACTCACGCACTGTCTTTGTTTTCATCATAAAAGAGGAGGATTCTGCCCAAGCCAACTCGGAAAAGCCGTACGAAAAATAAGCAGAAGCGCCCCAGAAGGTGAGTGGTTTTAGCTTCACTCCTCACTGGCTGCTGACGTGTGCGGGGCACTTCCTTGATGTGCAGTCCTCCTTGGGTGGCATTCTCCGGTTACATGTGGTCTGATGTCATAGTGTTAGAGGTCAGTGGTACCACCCAGGTGAGGCTTGAATTCTGTTGCCTGTAACTGAGGTGCTGTGTTAGAAATAACATGGCTAGTTGACTAGCTATGCTATTAGCTGTTCGCAGATGCCAATGGTGACTTCTGCACATTGCTCTTTTAGGCTTAGGCCTCCTGGTGGTGTTGTTGTAGTAACTATCATTTGCATTGTCGGTCCCTGCAGAGCCTCAGGGACCAGATTGAGGGTGAATAACTGCTACAATCTACTTGAGACAGAGTTTGTATTGTGAAGTCCAGGTTTGCCATTACCTTTCTGTTAGCCAAGGCTGTCTTCCATAGTGCTGGGATTGCAGGCACACACCATCATGCACCGTCAGGGTGTTTGTATTGCAATATGTGTGGTTAATAATGCTAGGAATTTGTCTTAATTCAACTTTGTTCTGAAAGCCACTGGAAAATTTGTGGGGATTTAATGTGTGGATAAATGCTGTCCGTAGGAAGGAAGAGGGGTAATGGTCACGGATGAGGCCAGTTTTTCATGCACAGCTGGAATGGTAGGATTTTTGCCATAATTCTTAGTGAGGTTTGCAACTATGGTCCTTGGAGCCTTATCATAATTATAGATTGAGTAGCTCATGCACAGCAGAGCTAAGATTGTCTGTCATGACTGCAGTGTCCCCAGTGACCTTAGCTTCTGGTCCTGACTCTGCGGTCCTTGGTAGGGAGTGGTAGTCCTATATTCTGTCTCCAGACCTGGCCCAGTGTGATAATGTGCTTTAAAGAGTAGCAGTCAGCAGCCATCTGTTTGCTGGATGTACTGCTGTGTGAGCACAGACAGGGTGAAGTCTTGCTGTGTGCTCTGTAGCCCGACAGCCGTAGCACCCATCCCAGAGTTTGGAATTACAGATGGCTCTTGACTAGGGTGGGGTGACTTTATAATAGTGTACACTCAGGAGAAAGTATGGTTGGGATTCTGAATTTAGTGCTTTTTCTGGGCTGATGGTGTGTCGTGATGAGCATTGATGAGTGCAGCTCTCAGATGTCCTGTGATCACCATGTGAGTGACACTTGACAGGGCTCTCTTGGTAAGCTGGGGTGCTTGCTTGGTTGTTCTGGTGTGTTAAATTTGTGGCTAGGCTGTTTGCACCTGTGCTTGGAAGTCAGGGAACCATCGTGCAGTTTTCCAGGCCTTGGGGTTGGGACACTCTTGAGAGTGTACGTTGCCAGAGTGTCACTTAGAGCGTACAGCTTTGGACATAAATCCTGACTTGCTTGTCATTCAGACAAAAGTTTTAGTCTCTGGGGTGCTGACTGAGCCAAATGGTTGTCTCTGACTGAACTCTTGGGGAATACTGCCTCAGTTTCTCAAGTGTTTGTGTCACAGGCATGAGCCATCACACTCGGCTCCAGTGTTAACTTGGTTTTAGGAATCTGGCCTCAACTGTTTTCCTTGTATTCCAAGAGCGGTGGAATTCCTTCTGTGGTGTTGCTCATCATTGTCAATCTTTCAGCCGTACGCTCACCGCAGTGCACGACGCCATCCTTGAGGACCTGGTCTTCCCAAGTGAGATTGTGGGCAAGAGGATCCGTGTGAAACTGGACGGCAGCCGGCTCATAAAGGTTCATTTAGACAAAGCACAGCAGAACAACGTGGAGCACAAGGTAAGGAAACGCTCAGCCCATGGTCAGATCTTCCCCATCCCTGTTCTGTCTGATTCTGTGTTGGGTTTTGTAGTGGGGATGCTTTAAAAACTGGAGTGCTGGATGGGGGAGCAAGTATGATGACTTGGGTGGGTGATGGCATATTAGAATGAAGAGGGGGGCTGTGCTGATACCTGCTGCCCTGTGGGTAGCTTGGTTTGAGTGGCGTTGCCTCAGTGTTGGAGTTAGGCCTGTGCCGAGGCCAAGAGTTGCAGGGGTCACGTCGTACTTAGTTGCTGAAGAGGAAGACCACAAAGGGTGCACTAGATTTCGGTGCTGCTGCACATTTAAAAGTGATGAATAGGTAATGAATTCTGTCTTCTTTTTCAGGTGGAAACTTTTTCTGGTGTGTATAAGAAGCTCACGGGCAAGGATGTTAATTTTGAATTCCCAGAGTTTCAGTTGTAAAGAAAATGACTGAATAAAGTGTCATTCGTAGTGTTTGGTTGTCTCTTTTTCAAAGTCTCAGGGCCATGGATGTACAACAGCGGCAGCTTCCTGAGCAAGCTGAAGGTTTGAAGTATGCGTCCTCACATAGAGTGAGCAGTTTCTCGCTGTAACATAGGCGTCTCCTGGTTTTCCTCTCGTGTGACTCCACATCAGGTTGAGTGGAAACGGCATTGTCCACCAAAATTAAGGCCTTGAGTGCCAAGGAGGCTCCTCATGGAATCCATCCATTGCTAACTTTATAAGCGGGTTAGATAAACGCATGGGAGGCTGCCCGTGTGCCGTGTTGGGCCCTTGGCGCCACTTATGTGGAGTAGCTCCTGCTAACTTGAGGCCTGCTAAAAGCTGGCAGACACTGGTAGAGGAAGGGAATGTAGGTGCTTGGTGTCTGCCTTCACTGTGGTTCACTGACCTTGGTGAGTGTGTGAGCAAAGCGGTAGTCTCCACAGGCCTGTTTGTCTTGCTCCTTCCTGCTGTCTGCCCTCTTCTATAGGAGCTGCGGTTAGATAGTGTTCTCTGGCTTCAAGCACCACTTGGTCAGCTCAGGGCTCTGCAGTAGAGTCCATCAGTTTAGTGCAGTTTGGTGGTGCACTCTGGTAGCTGAGAAAAAGGGGGTGGTGAATTTGGGGCTAACCTGGGTTACATAAAAGGTCTCAAGCCAAAAAGGGAGTGGAGGGTTTACTATTTGGAACACCAGCTGCTCTTCCTGAGGACCTGGGTTTGATCCTAGTGCTCACATGGAAGTCCAGCCGTCCAATCCAGGAGATCTATTTTTCTGGGCTTGACACCATGCATGATGTGTACAAACAATATACAGATAAATACACAAAATTGATGCTTTTTTTTTTCCCCTCTCTTTTTTGGTTTTTCAAGACCGGGTTTCTCTAGTTTTGGAGCCTGTCCTAGAAGTAGCTCTTGTAGACCAGGTTGGCCTTGAATTCACAGGGATCTGTGGCATGCGCCACCACCGCCTGGCCACAAAATTGATTCTTAAAATAGAAATTGCTTATTGGAACATGCCTCATGGATGCCATTGAGGTCTTGGTGTTGCTTTAAACCTAGAACCTGAGGTGAACAGTGTGTAGCTGCCCATTATCCTGGGACCAGCCTGATGGTGGGGCAGGTCCACTTAGAGTTATCCAGGGGTTGGCTAGAGCAGATTCTCTTTCCTCTAATTCAGGAGGTACTGTCCTTTCAAGCAGCTGTGAAAGAGGTTTGGGTTATTGAGTGGGGATTTTTAGTAAGAACAGGATGTGATTGTAGAGCATAATATAAACCTCCCAGGAATATTAGATGGAATATTATGCAAAGTTGGCAGAGATTTCCAGTCACGATGAGTAGTGTACCTTTGCTGCATGAGCCGCCATGCCTTGCTTTGCAAATAAGTATCTGGCCTTGGATTTAAGACTTCTGTTTTGCCTCCTGTACGCTGGGATTACAATTAACTCCCAGCATAGAATTTACAATCCTGTAATGCTTGTAGTCCCAGTGTGTGGGAGGAAAGCCAGAAATTCAAAATCATCTCCACGTGTTGAGTTTGAGACTGGTTTAGAGAACGTGCGACCTCGAAGCTCTCGTACTGTGGTGGAACACATTTAATCCCATCACTCTGGAGGCAGAGCAGATGGATCTCTGGTCTCCAGTCCCGAGATTAAAGGCATGTGCCACCACCGCCCGGCTGATCAAAACTATTTAAAAGCTGGGTGTGGTGGCATTTGCCTTTTATCTCAGCATAGGAGGCAGAGGCAGGCAGATCTTTTAGTCTGAGGCTAGTCTAGTCTGCACAGAGAAACCCTGTCTCAACGCCTGCCACATCTCCCCTAAAAATAAAATTGTCTTGCCTGTGATGTGTTCATGCCATGGGGTTTGTGTGGGGTCAGGCCACCTGTGGACAGACACTTCTTTCACATATGGATCAGTTTGTCTTACCCGAAACTGTTTTGCTTGCTGAGTCATCCTGGCTTAGAATTTTTGTTTTGTTTGAGATAAGGACTCTAAAGGTGAGGCTGACCTTGAATTCAAACAATCCAGGTCCATAGCACTGACTAATTTTATTACTGGTGGTTATGTTAACATAAAGCATACAGAAAACCCTAGGTTTGCTGGGCAGTGGTGGCACAGACCTTTAATCTCATCACCCAGGAGGCAGAGGCAGGTGTATCTCTGTGAGTTCGAGGCCAGCCTGGTCTACAAGAGCTAGTTCTAAGACAGGCTCCAAAGCTATAGAGAAACCCTGTTTCAAAAAACCAAACCAAACAAAAAACACTAGGTTTGATTCCCAGCATACCTCCCCACAACCGAGGGTTGAAATGTCACAAATAGAGTTTTAAGAGTTATATGTGAACAAATCTAAGGGAGGTTTTGACCAACGAAGGTGTGGGAGGATGTGCAGAGGATGCTCATTCTAGTTCCCACACTAGAGGGTGGCTCACAAGTGTTTCAGGGATCTGACTTCCTAGCCTCTGGGGCCACCAGTCATATACGTTGGGGGCCCTGTACATACATGAAGGCAAACACTCAAATCTTTAGAAAAGACATTACTTGGTTTTACTGCTCAGTGAGGACCTCAGGAGTTACTTGATAGCAAACAAGATACTTTAGAAGGCAATATGAAGTGCAGTTATCCCCATTGCTTTGATCAATAACACTTGAAGTCGAAGAAACATGAGGGAAGGGGTCATGAAGTCCCACCCCTCCTCCTTGGGCTTCTGGCAATTAGCGGTTGGTTGGGTATGGGGAGGTTGCTGGGTACAAGGAGGCTTTGCCTTCAGTTCTAGAACCACTAGTAAGTTACCATGCTCCAGTGAACAGTACCACCCATGCATGTGCCGACAGCCATAATTAAACTCTGCATTTAGAGGCAGATCAGGGAGACGGTGTCCTGGCTAGTTCTTGCCATCTGAAAGGAAATACGAGAATGTCTCCATAAGATCCAACTGTAGGGCATTTGTTTGTTTCCAAGACGATTTCTGTGTGTATAGTTCTGGCTGTTCTGTAACTTGCTCTGTAGACCAGGCTGGCCTCAAACTCAGAGATCCGCCTGCTTCTGCGTCCCGAGTGCTGGGTTGAAAGGTGTGTTCCACCACCGCCTGGCTGAAATCTAAAATATTTTTAAAAATACAGTGGAGTCCGTGTCAGACAGTGTCCACTTTACAGCTGCCTTCCATGTTCATATTTGTTTAACTTTCTGGCCGTATGAGGAAGCCACACTGTGATTTGTGTCACGGCTATGATCACTCCGACATGTTTATTTTATTTTTTATTTTTTTAAATGCCCTACAGGCTTGTTGATGTTGACAGCCTGTTTTTTTAGATTTATTTATTTATTATGGATACAACATTCTGCCTGCATATATGCCCGCACATCAGAAGAGGGCGCCAGATCTCATTACAGATGGTTGTGAGCCATATGGTTCACCACCATATGAGCAGCCGTATGGTTGCTGGGAATTGAACTCAGGGCCTCTGGAAGAGCAACCAGTGTTCTAAACCGCTGAACCATCTCTCCAGCCCCTCACTCCGGCATGTTTATAAGGCTACTCTTTATTCCTAGCGGTCACTGGTTGAGTGGCGGTTCTCCTAGGACAGACACTGTACCCAGCAGGTCCTCTCTTGTGTCCCATCAGTCTGTTGATTCTTCCCCAGGGCTTTAGAGCAGCTTAACAAGTAGGCTAGCATGGCGGGCTTTGGAGGGTTGAAGTGTAAGACCAGTCACAACCAATACAGGGCTGCTGCCATACTGGGGCAGACTCAGCAATGTCCCGACATCCACTGTGAGGCTGGCCACAGTTCCTTAAGTGTCTCTGGCCCAGCCACCTCAGCCTTGAGAACATATTACAGATGAGCATTCTGGGATCTCTACATTCAAACTATCAGTTCAGAAACCCTAGGGTCTAGAGCTGGAGCGATGGCTCAGTAGTTAAGAGCATCTGATACCCTTGCAGAGAACTGACCTTGGTACCAGCAGCCACGTGGCAGCTCCCAAAGTTCTGCATCTCCAGTTCCAGGGGTTCTGATCCCCTCTTTCTGACTTATCTATGTAGGCACTACCAGTGCAGGCTCCTTGTGAGAACCCCTGGACAGGCCCTCTGGACATCTGATGGTAGCCTGTCATAGCCACTTTCCTGTGCCACTATCATGCAAATGGCGCAATCCAGAATCTTAACACAGGGTAAATATGTTAAATGGCTAAGTAGTCAAGACCTTTTAACTACTTGGCAAGAAGAGAGGTTTCTAGTGCCACACCGTGGTCTCTGCTCCGCATCCCAGAGGGACTGGCTTAGGATAGTATAGTCAACCAAGTGCTGTGCACTCTCCGGAAACTCAGGCGCACCCAGCGAGTGATGAAAGCCTTTGGGGAGGTGGTAGTGGTGAATGTCCTCATGGACAAAGTGTCCCACAGATAAAAAGGCACGTCCGGTGTGACCCCCTAGGGAAGTTTCCCAGCCAGAGCAGAGTGGGTTTCATGTGACTCTTGTATGCAAACTCCATGGTTATCTCGGAGAGATGTAAACACTCACTGGACGTGGGCCAGTCTTGTTCTGGCCGGGAAGGGGATGGTCTGTGGGGTCAGAGCTCCCAGGCAAATGACTCTAACCCTGCGCTGGGTGCTGTCAGGGCAGACAAGAGGAAAGCAGTGGCTTGCTTCCAGGACAGGAGTGGCCATTGTTTCCTGGTGACGTTTGACACCAGTTTGTGGCTCCAGAGTAATCTTATATACCAAAGTTCTAACTCACAACCTATTCATTCAATCTAGGCAAGTTAAATCACCACTGTTTTTGTAATGGGGTGTATTTTGTTGGCATTTTTTAAAATTCTTTTTTGGTTTTTAGAGACATTTTCTCTGTGTATCTCTGACTGTCCTGGAACTCACTCTGTAAACCAGACTGACCTCGAACTCACAGAGATCTGCCTGCCTCTGCCTCCCTGAGTGCTGGGATTAAAGGTATGTGCCACCCCTGCCCGGCTTTTGTTGGCACTTTTTAAAAAGTCCCCAGGATAGGCTGGGGAAATAGATTAGTTGATGGATAGTGTCTGCCTGGCATGTACAGGGTCCTGAACTCAATCCCTGGAACCTGGGTAAGGCTGAAGATTTGGAAGTGGTGGCTCATGTTATCCCAGCAGTAAGAGACATGTGGGAGGCAGAGGCAAACAGATCTCTGAGTCTGAAGTTAGTTTGGTCTTCAAAGCAACTTCCAGAACAGCCAAGGCTGCACAGAGAAACTGTCTCAAATGCCCCTCCTCCCACTCACAAAGGTCCTTAGGCTTTCTGGGCACTCTGTCACCTTGGGGCAGGAGGGGGTGTCTGACAGTTTGCTGGGACAGGTCTTAGGGGGGGACTCTTGGCCTTGCTCTGTGAACTGTGAACTTTGGAGATGTGAACGGGGCCATTTCTATAAGTGTGAGGGCAGTTTGAGCTACATGAGAGCCTGCCTCAGAAGCAAAACATAGTAATAAAAAGTTAAGCTTTCTTTGGAGGTGATGGTAGATTCTCACGCAGTTGTAGAGGATAATCCAGTTTCTCTGAGCCCAACTTCTCCAGTGGAAAGTGTGGCACAGTACTACAGCCCAGATTCTAACGTGAGCAGGCGAGTCAAGTCACCTTTATTTATTTATTTATATTTATTTATTTTGGTTTTTCGAGACAGGGTTTCTCTGTGTAACAGCCCTAGCTGTCCTTGAACTTGCTCTTGTAGACCAGGCAGGCCTTGAACTCACAGAGATCTGCCTGCCTCTGCCTCCCAAGTGCTGGAATTAAAGGCGTGCGCCACCCCTGCCCTGTGAGTCAAGTGCTTGAGATCCAGTGCCCTGGCCAAGCAATCTGTCCTTGATTTTTATAGTTTTATCACTCTTTTTTCTTTTTGAGACAGGGCTTCTCTGTGTAGCCCTGACTGTCCTGGACTCACTCCATGGACCAGACTGGCCTCAAACTCTGAGATTCACCTGCCTCTGCCTCCTGAGTACTGGAATTAGAGGTGTGTGCCACCACCACCAGGCTAGTTTTGTCACTTTGAGAATATTGTATGAATCGGATGTGAGAGCAATATGGCTGCAGTATCATTCACCCCATCAATCATGAAGCTGGTTTGGCTGATCCAGCTTCCATGCATGAATCCATGCACCTACCCTGAAGCTGCATGTCGGTGGCAGACCTTCCCCGATGGGGGAGGACTGTTGTTCCTTTGAGGGGGTTCGAATGGCTGTGCTGAGCCTCCAAACAGGCTCTCAGGAGTATTTTATAGATGGAACTGTGGAGTCTGCTTTGCCACTGCACAGAGCCCTTGGCTGTCTCTCCAAGTTGCTGAGTGGTAATATCTTGTATTAGTGTATGTCTGTAAGCAGGTACATATGTGTGCAGCTCCCTCATTACTCTCTATCTTGTTTTTCTGTTTGTTTGTTTTGTTTGTTTGAGTTATTTGATTTGAGATACAATCTCACTATGTACTTCTGGCTGTCCTGGAACCTGCTGCAGCGTGCAAGCTGGCCTCTAACTCACAGCAATCCTCCTGCTTCAGTCTTCGGAATGCGGAAATTGCCGGTATTCACCACCATGTTCAACATATGTTACTTATTTGAAGAAAAAGAAAAGAAACAGGACAGAAAACCAAAACCTCGACAGAATGTTTGGGGTGGGGGTTGGCTGGGATCTCCAGGCACCCCGGCCTGGCAGCAGGGGCTGTGTTCCCACACTCCTCAGAGTCCTGCAGGACAGCTGATGGTTTCAGGCAGGAAGCTCTTACAGATAAGGCTGCAGCCTCCAGCAGAGGCGCTGGGCTGTCTGACAGCCCAGGCACGGGTTCCCTCTGAGTTGGACTGCAGCTGTCTCTGTAAATAAGCAGCCATGAGGCTCTTTGAAGCAGTATCTCTGCTAGCCGGGAACCGTCAGGACAGCACCTTCGCCTAGTGTGCATCCAGGTAGGAGATGCTGCTCCAGGATACCAGGCCAGGATTGGACAGGTGTCGAGGTACAGACAGGAGGGCAAGTTGCCAAACAGGACTGGAGGGTAGATTCAGGCTTTGGAATTTGGCAAGGTGGGACTCGGCCTCAGATCCAAGCATCCTGGAGTTGGTCCATAAGCCAGACACTCGACTTCCAGAGTTTATTTAGCTCAGTAGTTAATGGAGGAATCTTTGAGAAGCCTACAGAGGCAGATTCTGATCAATCAGTCTATAGATGATAGAATTACAGACACGTAGGTTAGTTGGTGCCCAGAGGTTGGAGTGATCATTTCTAACTCCAATGGGGGAGTAACATACCCTAGACTATTGTTGAGCAACATTTATGGTCTTACAGCTCAAAGGCACACCCAGCAGTGGGTCTCAGGTGGAGGGGGTGGCAGGGAGGAAGGGACATTTCCCTCAGGGAAGCCATCTAACAGTGGGCATCGGGTCTCCCAGCACTGGACAGGGGAGCAGGGTGTCCCAACACTGGACAGGGGAGCAGCTCAAAAGGGTAGTTGCTTGAGCTCTGACACCCGGCTTTGGGACTGACTGTTGTGTCTGAGTGGCCCCAGGTGGCAGCTCCACATTGAAATGGTTGCATCTGTAGGCCTTTGCAAGGCACAATGGGGTTCGATTTGATGATTAATCCTGCCTGGGAGAGCAGAGCTCCAAACTTCCACATTTAGTTTTATCTCCAGTTTTGAGACATCTGTGCCGGAGAAGAAAGAACAAACAGATCACTCCTCACTATTGGGTTGGTAAGATCCTCTCTGTAGCCTCGTGGTGGGGGTGGCAGTGTCACCTTAGGACGACGGTGCTGTTCCCAGCAGGCAGTTCAGGGTCTGTGAGATCCAGGGCTCCACTGTAGGTGTTTAATGGACATGACAATTCGTGTGTTTGGCAGCACAATTCCTACTTTTGTCCCTGCCTACTCCCAGCTTTTTTTTTTTTTTTTTTGTGTGTGGTGTTTTTCAAGACAGGGTTTCTCTGTAGCTTTGGAGCCTGTCCTGGAACTAGCTCTTGTAGATCAGGCTGGCCTCGAACTCACAGAGATCTGCCTATCTCTGCCTCCAAAGTGTTGGGATTAAAGGTGTGTGTGTCACAGCCACCGGCTCCCAGTTTATTCTTCTGGGTTTCTTTTCGTTTCTTTTGAGAATTCCACATTTAATCTTTCCCCAGAAAGCTGTCTCTTTGATGGAATCGGGGCCTTAGTCTTTGGACCCCGGCTGAGAGATAAGGATGTTGTTTTTAAAAAGATTTCAGGACTGCTGCATAGGCTCCGTTTATAAAACCAAATTCCTTTCCTGAGAGGCAGCTGGCTGGGACACAGACCAGCTTCCTGGTGGGCATGGTGCCTCCCCATGTGCCCACCTGCCCCGATCTGGAGCAGGACTGGGGCAGGCATCTGAACTGGAGGAGAGGGCCCAATCACATCCCCTAGCTCAAAGGAAAACTGACAGTAAAGGCACACAGGCAGGAGAGTCAGTGAGGGTGTTTTTTGTACCTCTGCTCTCTCTCTCTGCTGGCCTGCTGTGGCCTGACCTTTTGTAGTGGGAGAGTAAGGGCTGACTGTCCTGTTGGATGCCTACCTCTCTGGAGGAGCATTTCCTTCTCATTTTTGTTTTGGTTTTTTGTTTCCAAGACAGGGTTTCTCTGTGTAGCACTGGCTGTCCTGGAACTCACTCTGTAGACCAGGCTGGCCTTCGAGCTCACAGAGACCCACCTGCCTCTGCCTCCTGGGTGCACAACACCACCCAGCAACGTTTGTGTCTATGGAATACATTCCTGTGCCAACTTGGGAGCACCGAGCAAACCAGAAACACATAAACAGTTTTTAATCCAACAAACTGGGTGCAACAAGGATTATTTGATTTTTTCCCTCTTTTCTTTAAAGATATTATTATTTTGATCTTTCGGGATAGGGTCTCATTATGCAGCCTTGACCGGTCTCAAACCCACAGGAATCCTCTTTGCCTCCCATGTACTTGGATGAAAACCATGGGCCACCATCTCCAGCCTTTTAAATCATTTAAAATTGTGTCTATGTGTCTGTGTCTGTCTGTGTGAGTGTGTGCAGGTGCCAGGGAAGACAGAGGCACAGATCTCCTTAGTTACGGGCAGTTGTGAGCATGCGAGTGAGTGATGAGAAACACATTCAGGTCCTCTGCAAGGGCAGATGCGGTCTTAACCATTGAGCCGTCTCTTTAGCGCCCTCCCCTGCTCCTCTTTTCTGGCTGATGAAATGGAATCTTACTACGTAGCCCTGGCTAGCTGTTGGGCCTAAAACTCACTGTTGGAGCCCAGGCTGGCCTTGAACTCATAAGGTGCATAGCAGTCCAAGCGCTGGGGTGACCGGTGTCCTCACCATACACCGCCGATTATTGCCTTTGCAGCTGAGTGCTGTAGAATTAAGATCACTGCAAGGGGAGTATGTTTACCGACGGGTTTTGCAGTCCCCTGTTTCTTAAATTGCTGGGAATTTCAGGACAGTGACAGCAGAGCGATAATCCAAGTGTGACAACCTGTGGCCTGCTGAGGTCCGTGTAGGCTTAGCGTCGCATTTCTCATACATTTATGAACACACCCATGTGTAAGTAACTCTTAAAAATGAGAAGCTGGGGGGATGGAGAGGTGGCTTAGTGGTTAAGAGTATCACCTGTTCTTCCAGAGGTCCTGAGTTCAGTTCCCAGCAACCACATGGTGGCTTCCAACCATCTCTAGTGGGATCTGATGCTCCATCTGGTATAAAGTCAGGCATGCTGATAGAGCATTCATGTGTAAAATAAATAAATAAATCTTAAAAAAATGAGAAGTTGGAAGGGAGTCGAAACAATGTCCCCAGCAAATTCCTGCTGAAGCCTAGCAGTGACTACCCGGGCCTTACTGAACAGTGCTATGTTCGCTGATTCCTCTCCATGGTGATTTTCCTTAGCTCTGTGTGTGTGTGTGTGTGTGTGTGTGTGTGTGTGTGTATGCGCATGTGGGTGCATGCGTATGTGTATGTGTGTGTATGTGTGTGTATATATGCGTGTGTGCATGTGTATGTGTTCTCACCTCTGGCAAGCCCAGCAGTGTGTGCCCTTCTTTGCTTCCATTCCTGATTTTTGTAGTCTGCCTTGATTTGTTTTCCTTCTTCATGAAAGCAGAAACTTGGTGGACTACAGTGCTTTCTCAGCCCAGTGTTTCGCCATAGTTCTCCCGCGTGTTGTCAAGCTTTCTGTGCTGTGGTCTATCACAGTTTTGAGCGTTTGACTATTGCAGTTGCAGGCGCCTCATTAATTAACTTCTGATGGCCACAGCTCTCCCTCTTTCCCATCAACCTGCAAACACGGATGGACGCGCAGAGGGCTGGCGACCTTGTCAGTCACCAACAGCTCAGAGCCCAGTGACCCAGAGTGTGGGAGGGTGGGTAATGAATGGGAGCTGGGTCTCAAACCCCAGCCTCAAAGCACAGACCAGTGTTGAGATCAGCAGTCTGTGCTCTGCGGGCTCAGGCTTTGCCTTTGTGGTTTGAGCTGTGCAGGGTCTTCCTTCCTTGAGTCCTTGAACAGTGAGGTGGGCTTTCCATTTTATGCCTCTGGGCTTTCAGCCAGGTCCCAAGGTCAAGGTTAGTGAGTGCAATCCTCTTGGTTTACACCCCAAATGCTATACCTTTCAATCCTATGCCCCACCATCCTTTAAGCCCCGCCTCTGCTTATACTTTACCCTTCAGTCCTACTCCCCTCCTTAAGCCTCACCTCTGCTTATGCTGTACCATCCAGTCTTGTCCTCCCTCATCCTTAAGCCCCACCTTCACTTAGGTGGCAAGCCAGCATCTAGCATCACCAAACCTTTCTTCTGTTGTCCCTTGTGGGTACTTGAGTTGAAAGAGGAGTTTCAGATGGCTTCCCTTCACACAGCAGGGACAGGAGATTCTCATCACCAGGTGTAGCTTTCCACAGTCTGACACGATAGCAGCAGGGGGTCTGGATTTCTTAACTTCGCCATTCATTTGGGGGTGAATCCTTCCCTGGAGGCAAATCTATCAGGGGCTCAGTGTTACTAAAGTGAGTGTCAGCACAGCCAGATAAGGGATCTCTGCAGACTATAAAGGCTCCTGAGACATGGTCTGTGCCCCCACTCCCTGGGCTTCTCTATGGGGGGACACAGCAGGGATGATCTCACTGGCTGTGTATATCAGTCCCTTGCTTCTGAGGGCTAGATGACTGGAGTCAGGAAAGGAGGCAGAACGTCTTGATCTTTGAGTTGGGCAACTTAAACCACTGCTCCATACACCCAGGGTTCGTTGCCTGCTTGTCATGGGAGCCTCACAGCTTTCTTTGGCTGGAAAGTCAAATCTAGCCCCTCCCCTTCATCCGTATCTGCTCCCTAAACCCAGCCCTGTTCTTCAGGGATGGTAGCTGGCTGGCCATTTCCTCGAATTTCCCATAGAATCTAGTGAAAACCAATAAAGTTTGCCTTTGCAACCCACCCCAGCAATACTTTGCTTTTCTGCCTCTGCCACGGCCTCCCTACTTCTTGCTAACTGCACATTGTAGTCCTCCTCTGTCTGGTCTCCTCACTTCCTTTTTCTTATTTGTTTGTTCTTTGGCTAGCTTTGGAGCCTGTCCGGGCACTCACTCTGTAGAGCAGGCAGACCTTGAACTGCCTGTCTTTGTCTCCAGAATGTTGGGAATTCAAGGCGTGAACCACCCTCGTCCTGCTTGTTTTGTTTTTTGAGATATGGTGGGGGGGCGTCTCACATGGGCCTGGAGAGATGGCTCAGTGGTTAAGAACACTGGCTGTTCTTCTAGAGGTCCTGGGTTCAATTCCCAGCAATCACATGATGGCTCACCACCCTCTGTAATGAGATCTGGTGCTCTCTTTTGACCTGCAGGTATGCATGCAGGCAGAACACTATATACGTGATAAATATACATAAATAAATAAATCTTTAAAAAAATAAGAGACAGGGTCTCACTATGTAGCCTTGGCTGTTCTGGAACTAACTCTGTAGACGAGGTTGACCTTGAGCTCACAGAGTTCTGCCTGCCTCTGCCTTGCGAATGCTGGGATTAAAGGCCTGTGCTACCACACCCTGAGTCTCACTTCCATTCTTATTCCAATAAATATGGTCTCCAAAGAAGAGCCAAGTGGTCCTTTATAAAGCCAAGCCCTAACTGGGTGGTGGTGGTGGTGCACACCTTTAATCCCAGCACTTGGGAGGCAGAGGCAGGCAGATCTCTGTGAGTTCGAGGTCAGCCTGGTCTACAAGATCTAGTTCCAGGACAGGCTCCAAAACTACAGAGAAACCCTGTCTCGAAAAACAAACAAACAAACAAACAAACAATAAAGCCCTGCCCTGATCAAAAGCCTCCTTCTTTTGAGGAACCCTCAAAGGTTTTACAGTAACACTAGATCTGAGTCTTCACCCTGTTCAGGCTTTTTCCTTCTTTATGATCAACAGGCTGGCAGCTTCTCCCCAAGCTCCATCAAGAGGCTGCAACCCCTTGATGCTTCACCAGGGAGGCCATTCCCGACCCCTGTCTCTAGATAGCAGCACCTACAAATCCATCTTGTCTTGCCCCTGATCCCTGGGGAAGATCGCTCTTCTCTGCAGCTTCTGGTTTTATCTGTCCACCCTTTTGTCTCTTTTAAAAAAGGTTTATTTATTTTTGTATGTGTGCATACCTGCATGTGTATAGGCACACTAGGTGTGTACAGTGCTCACAGAAGTTGAAGAGGGCATTGGGTCGCACTGGAACCAGAGTTACAGGTGGTTGTGTACCACCATGGGGATCCTGAGAACTAAACCCGGACCCTCTGTAAGTGCAGCAAATACTCTTTACCACTGAACCATCTCTCCTGACCCTGACTGTCTTCTTTGACTGGAAAGGAACTTTAGTTCTTTCTACACCCTAGCACCTGGAACTGTGCCTGGCAGAAGGTTGGCACCTAGAAATATTGGTGAGTGGTTGGCTGACCCAGGGGATAGGTGCCAGGAAGCACCAAAGGCCTTCTGAGATGAATAATTGTGTGGTTATTGCTATAATTGCTATTGTGTGATTCTGATGCTCCAAGGGGAACTACCTCAACTTCCAGGCCCAACCTCCCTTCTTGCTTTTTATATATCTTTTATATCTTTCTTCCTCTTCCTCTTCCTCCTCCTTCTCTTCTTCCTCTTCTTCTTTTGTTCTTTTTCGAGACAGGGTTTCTCTGTGTAGCTTTGGAGCTTTTGTAGACCAGGCTGGCCTTGAACTCACAGAGATCTACCTGAGTGCTGGGATTAAAGGCATGCACCACCACCACCACCACCACCACCACCCAACTCTCCCTTTCTTCTTGCCACTATGGTTGGCCTTTCTTCTTCTCTTTCCTCTCTGCTTTCGAGCCATCTAGTGTGGACCCCTGCTTGCGTAGAGCTATCCCCTCTCAGACGTGCTCCAAGCTCTGCAGGACAGTCATGTCTTACATAGGAGCCTTTACCGTCTGTGGGCCCCAATCTCTGCCATTAGGATGAGATGAGCCTCCTGGGCAGGCCTTGTGCTCAGTGTCTTGTTCTGAGGAAGGCTAGACAGTGAGAGTGACCTTTAGCAAAGGCTTTGGGAAAGAGTTCTGGGCACACATGGTGCCCTAGCTGCCGGGAGACTTCCGAGACTCTCAGTGGAGGTTGGTAATTGGTATGTAAGCAAGCCAGCGAGAGAGGGGAGTGTAAGCGTGGGGCCTGCTGTTTGCAAAGTGCTGTGTGTGTCAGATCCTGTCACTGTTTATGCCTTCCTTCTTCCAGGAGTCAGTGTCCTGCCCGCGCTCATGATGACGAGGGACCTGGCTCTTGCAGGCATGCTGATTAGCCTGGCTTTCCTGTCACTGCTGCCATCTGGATGTTCTCAGCAGACCACAGAGGATGCCTGCTCTGTGCAGATTCTGGTTCCCGGCCTCAAAGGTAATGGTTCTTTGGCTGCTCTGGTGTTGCGCTGGTCACTCCTCCGGGTGTCTCAGTCTCCTACATGGCCTGGTACTTCAACACAAACTCACAGAGGATGGCTCTGTTCCAGCGGCATCCTGGGAAATCTGCCCATCTGTTGGGTTTGGGATTTCCTGACAATGAGACCAAGGTTCCATGGCATTTAAACCTTTTCCCACCAAGGAATTGCGGATTTCTCATCCGTGATGTGTATGCAACACAGACTGCTCTTCAGGAGCCTTGTGTGAAGGTCTGGCTCGTTTGATCTTCTCCAGCAGGAGCCGGAGGACTGAGGTCAGCCAACCTCTTTCCTGCTATATGATGCTACAGTGCTTATACACCGTGGCCTGCAGAGGCGAAGTCTGCTTGCAGGCACATTTGCAGATAGAACAACAGTCTAGGGATGCCTGTGGCTTTTCTCCAACCCACAATGAGTGTATCAAACTAGTCCATGTTCTGCATGAAAATGACAGACACACGCCTTCATAGTTGGGTCAGATATTATCAAAGCATGACCCGGATGAAAACTTTGTGTTCACAGATTGAGCTCTGACTCGAGAGGGCACAAGTGGTAAATTATTTCTACAAGCGAAGAGAAAGCAGTGCTATTGACAGTGGAAAATGAGATGGTGGTTGAAATGCCAACCTGTTCTGATAGAAAGATGGCTCATCAGAACTCCTCCGGGGTGGGGATAGAGGGCCTCATAACTGGGCTCTCTGTGGCTTGCTCCTCACCCTAGGTAACTAGACACCCCACCCCACCGAGTTTTGAGCAGTGCTGGGAACATCTTTGATCTTGGCAGTCACTCAGGGTTGCACGCCAAGGCCTCCAGGAAGAGCTAGAGTCAAGATCCCAGGGAAGGTCTCCATTGACTTGGGTGTGGTCCTTTAGAAGTAGAGGTCAAAATGTATTTGAGACAAAGGGTCTCACTATGAAATCCTGGTTAGCTGGGAACTTCCTATTTAGAATATCCTGGATTAAACTCCCAGGACTCTGCCTGCCTCTGCCTCCTGAGTGCTGAGATCAATGGTGGACACAATCACTGTAGACAGAGAGAGACTGCTTGCTGGTTTCCTGGCCACCTAAATAAAAACCTAAATAAAACCCAGAAACTATATTAATTACAACACTGTTTAGCCAACGACTTTAGTGTACTCCTAGCTAGCTCTTGCATTGCAAATTAATCCATTTCTATTAATCTGTGTATCACCATAAGGCTGTGGCCTACTGGTAAGGTTCTGGCTGGTGGCTGGTGTCTTTCTCTTTCGGCAGCTATAGAGCATCTCCCTGACTCCACCTACTTTCTCTCTATATCTCTGTTTGGATTTCCTGCCCGCTTTACTCTACTAAGCCATTGGCCAGAACAGCTTCTTTAATAACCAAAGGTAATAAAACATTTTCATAGCAAACAGAGGGGAATCCCACACCACATCACACTGAGCAAAAACAACTTTTTATGACAAAGTAGTTTCAGGACATAATGTAATCATGGACAGAGTCGAAGAACTGCATGTGGGGGCTTCAGAGCCTGGGCATTAAGGTGATTTTTGGGGGATCAGCAGTGGGAAGCTCAGGGGTCCCTTGTCCCCTTCTCCCTACTGTGGGTGAAGTGGGAAGACTATTCATGAGAATAACATTTAAACGAAGAAGGTTTTCTGATTGTTTGAGAGATATAAAGATCCTTCATTCAGGTCCTGTGCATGTGTATATGTGTGTATACATGTGCGTGGATGTGTGTGTGTACAAATATGTGTGCTGTGCTTGCGTGTGGAGGCCAGAGGCCAACCTTTGGCATTGTTCCAAATAGTGATAGCAACTTTGGATTTTGAGATAGGGTCTTTCATTTACCTGGTGCTTACTGATGAATCTAGTCTGGCTAGCCAGGGAGCCCCGGGGATCCCCCTGACTCTGCCCTGCACTGTGATTACATATGTGCGCTACTACGCTGACTTTTTATATGGAATTTGTGGGTCAACTCCAGTCCTATGTTTGCTATGGCAAGCCCATTACTAACAGCCATTGCTTCAGCCCCAAGCACCGTGTTTTAAAATGTTTTCATTGGTTCATTCTATCTCATTCCTACTAAAGTACTTCAAGTGCTGTTCCAGGGTCTCATGGTGAGTTAGGATCAATATGAACAGTTTTTCAATAAAATCACACGCACGCACGCACACACACACACACACACACACACACACACACACACGATGCAAAGGGATGCCAGGAGGAAGCTGTGTCCTGGCCTTAGTGTCCTTCTTGTTTACTTTTGAAAGGGGAGGGACCATCAGATAAGTAACAATGCAGTGGACGATGGTCTGGTTTCCTGATCCAGGTTCTGATGCCCAGAGAAACCGTGGTCAGACCTGGAGTCAGCACCTGTCTCATCAGTCAGCCACCACAACCCATGTTTTCTCTAACGCACACCCACCTGCCTCAAACGAGTGAGAGCCACACATAAACTCTAGACGCTTTCTAGCAAATGTCTAGAAGAGGTGTAAGGTGTACTCACAGTCACCTCTCCGTGAGTACCGACAGTGTACCTGCTGTGGTGGAGGCCTCCCTTCCCCCAGGTGCTCTGGGAGAAACTTCCGCCCCAGGAAGAGTCGTGGGTGGTAACCGCTTACTGCGACACACACAGTGGTGCCAGCTAAGAAACGTGACCTCACCCTTGCCCGTCTTTCGTGGGCTTCTGCAGCGGTGGGCTTCGCTGTCGCTCCTCTATGGGTGATGGTATTGGCCCCTGTGGTCCAGCCCTTCAGCCTAGCCCTGGCAGGCTCGTCTGGAGAGCTTTTGATTCCTTTCAGCCTGTGTGTGTTTTTCCTCGGAGTGCCGAGACGCTCTGGCTGGTTGTATCCGGCTCGCTGCGCAGCTTCAGCTTGAAAGCCACTTCAGCGGGGACCCGTCCGATCTGACACATTCTGTGCCACATTTGCTGAAGTTACTGCCTCGTTCTGTCCTGTACCCTGTGTGGCTAATGAGAATTCTCATGTCAATCTGACTTAAAAATATTTTCCCTCCTGGATAGCTCGCAGAATGTTCTCTTTGTTGTTGACGTTCGTTTGGCAGTGTCGCTGACACGTCTTTCCTATTTGGCCCTGATTTTTCCCGTGTGGTTCTCCACGGGCTTTTATCGTGTTCTTGCTTTCATGCACTCAGCCCTGCCCCCAGCACTGGAAAGTGTTTCTGGCAGCTCTTTACAGACTCTCAGGCGTTACCCATCATTCTCTTCCTCCCTCTGTCTCTCTGGAATTCTTGGGAGATGGGTTTGGGCACTTATGAGTTTTTTTTTTTTTTTCTTCCATCTCAACTTGATAGCTTCAAAACAAAACCATCAAGGCTTCACAGTTGAGTGTTCCTTAGTGAACAGAAGCCCTGGTCCTAGTATCTCATGGGAGGTGAGTGAGCTTTCTTTCAGCCATTGCTTTCCAGCTGTGAGGGTGCATTTCCCGCAGAAGGTCCCCAGTGGGCTTGCTGTCACACTCGCTGTCACACACAACCATGCCTCCTGCCTCTTTCTTTTTCCTTTTTTTTTTTTTTTTCCATGACAGAGTTTCACTATGTAGCCTTGGATAGCCTGGAATTCACTCTATAGACCAGGATGTGTAGATCGAGAAGCAGAGACATGTGAGTTTGAGGCCAGACTGGAGAATAGGTCCCCTGGTTCCCTGCCACTCAGCTCCTCTCCACACACCCGTGTGCTCATCCTGTTAGCTACCCTGACTGCTTATTTATACCTCTGTCTCTTGTACCTGGCCACTGAACCCCAGAACATGCAGGGCACACTTTACTGGTTCCAGGAAGCCCACAGGGGAGGCCATCATGAACACACCACGGGTCATGCTGAGAGGACGAGGAGATGATCAGTGGACACCCCAGTCTCTTCTCATGAGACATGTCACCAGGCCACATGACGTTCCCCTGGGGGCTACCTAGCAGTGACCGTACTTCTCCTTTCTTCTCTTTATTGTTGGGGTGGTATGGAGAGCCCTATGGTGGGAAGATGGATTGGGAACCAGTCCAGAAGGGACAGTGGAAGGAGAGAAAGATCTGTTCCCTGAGAAACAAAGCAGTGTTGGGAAAGCACACCCTGAGCTTAGACCTGGGCATCCAGAGCTCACCCAGGTGATGCTGCTTGCGGTTTGGAGTAGGATGGGCAAGGAGTAGGGTCAGACTGCCTGTACCATGTGTGAGAGTCTTTCTAATTCTTCTGCATGGGTGCATAACACCATAGCCCCGTCCTAGCCAGACAGTGCCTAAACAGATATGCCTTCTTCCACAGGGGATGCAGGAGAAAAGGGAGACAAAGGAGCCCCAGGACGGCCAGGAAGAGTCGGCCCCACGGGAGAAAAAGGTACTCATGATTCTAGCCTCCCTGGGGAGAAGGAGGGTGGGAGGTGGAGGGGACCAAGATTTCCTGAGAGAGAGTTTAAGAAAGAAGGCATGATGCTGGCCTGCAGGACCCTGAGTTAAAACCATGGCCTTGAAACACAGCGGGGTCTCTCTGGGAACTGTCAAGGTTCAGGATCACGCATAAACATATATGAGCGTGGCGTGATGGAGGAGCAGGGCCCAGGAAAAGCTGACCCATCTGCTGCGTGGAAGTAGCTGAGTGGGAATGGTCTCTGCTTTAATAAAACAACGTGATCCTGCCTGGGGGAGGTTGCTGAGGCTCAGTTGCATATCGAAGGAGCTAGAGCATGTGTGTGAAGAAACCAGAATACACTTGCACAGGGATGAGAACACGCATGGATAGGCATGAGAGCACCCACGTAGAGAACCAGGCTGTGGCTATTGGGTAACCACAGGACACACAAAAGAGAGGCTGTCTGAGGGAAGGGGCCAGGGGGTGCTCCAGTTTACACACGTGGAAGGGAATCTGAACATGCATCAGAATGGAGGTGATCACACATGTAAAGAGCTTTGGTAATAGCAGGTGCGCAGTGTGTGTGACTGCCATCTACAGGGTGGCGTCATCTTTACTATTTTGTGTTATTATTATTATTATTATTATTATTTGGTTTTTTGAAACAGGGTTTCTCTGTAACTTTGGGGTCTGTCCTGGAACTCACTTTTGTAGGCGGGGCTGGTCTCAAACTCACAGAGATCTGCCTACCTCTGCCTCCCGAGTGCTGGAATTAAAGGCATGCACCACCACTGCCTGGTTTAAAATGTTCTATTATTTTTTAAAAATTATGTGTATATGTCTGTGTGTAGGTTTGTGCATGTGAGCACAGAGTCTGTGCAGAACAGAAGGGGGGTTGGACCCCCTGGAGTGGGAGTTACCTGCAATGGTTACTGGGCCCTTCTGAAGAGCAGAGCTGGTTTCCATAGCAGGAGACTCGTTCTCTTAAAGGTTTATTTCTAGTATTTTAATTGTGTGTGCATGTGTTTGTGTGTGTGTGTGTATGTGCACGTGTGTACACGCACATGTGCGTGCATGTGTGTGTGCGCACGCAAGTGTGTGTGTGTGTGTGTGTTGGTATGTGCACATGCATGTGAGTTCCCACAGAGGTCTGAGGTGTCAGATCCTCCCGTGCTGTCTCGTGTGGTGCTGGGAATCCAGTTCAGGGAGAACAGTCCATGCTCTTAACCACTAAACCAACTCTCCAGCCTCAAAGTTTTGTTGGTTTTTAATATCTTTTGACACAGGGTCTTACTATGTAGCCCTGGTTGGCCTGGAACTTGTTATGTAGACCAGTCTACTTTGAACTCAAGAGATCTGCCTGCTTCTGCTTACTTTACAGTCTTTATTGTTATTAAAAGCTATATAGAAAAACCATTTTCAAGCCAGTCATTATGGGGTGTGCTTTTAATCCCAGCACGCTGGATGAAGGGGCAGATGGATCTCTATGTGTAACATGAGGGCCGGCTTGTTGGGGTTTCCATCCCGCCCGGTACCCCAACAGCCGGCAAATCCCAAAGAGAAATTACACACAGGACTCCATAAGGTTATAAACTGATTGACCCATTTGGTCAGGCTACTTATTAGCTCTTATATCATATATTACCCCATTATCCTTATCTATTTTAGCCACATGGGCTCAGTACCTTTTTCAGTGTGACAGCTTACATGTTGCCTCTTCGGTGGTCTGTGCAGGAGTGGCTGAGAGAGAGTTTCTGCTTCCAGAATACTCCCAGTCTCTTTGCTCCACCCCTACTTCCTGTCTGGCTTTCCCGCCTATATTGCCTGCCTGGCCAATCAGCGTTTTATTAAAATATGATTGACAGAATACAGATAATTCTCCCGCACCATCTATGCATTTCAGGGCATCCTGGTCTACATAAGACCCTGTCTTAAAAACGAAACAAGCTGGTTGTAGTGGCACATGCTGGTAGGATTTGCTGAAGCGGGCAGAGGCAGGAGGATCATGAGTCTGAGGCTAGGCTGGGCTACACACTTCTGGTTGATGATTGAGCACACTTTTAATCCGGGCACTCAGGAGCCAGAAGCAGTCAGATCTCTGGGTTCAAGGTCAGCCTGTTCTACAGAGTGCGTTCTAGGACAGCCAGGGAGACACAGAGAAACCATGTCTAGGAAAAAAAAAAACTCAAACCAAACCAGAAAACTCAACAAGCACACAAAAAAGAAAAAGGAGAGCATTCTCAACAATCCGTGAGGTTATGTACTAGTCAGCACCACAGCTGATCTTGTAACTCTGGAAAAGCTTCTGTTAAAAAAACTATTAAAATAACACATTGACAGTTTTTTGAAGAGTGACTTACAGACACCTCCTGGTCTAGTGCATGGGTTTTGAGCTTGCATACTGTGAGGCCTTGTTGGATGAGACTGGACCATCCCATTCCTCCGTCAACCCCAGGCACTAACTTTTGCTTCTTATTTTTCCTGTTACTCATAGAAATTAATGACGAATGGAATATCATCTCAGCTCAGTGATCAAAATGAGCAATGACACTTGCAATAAAGGTCCATGCGTATCTCCGTGGCTCTTGATAACTTTTATACACTTTTTTTTTTTTGCAGAGAGATCTTAGGAATTTATGACGCATCTCATCCCATTTGTGCAGACACTTGCAGAGGATGTGCTTATTCTGCACTTTGCTCCTTCCACTTAACAGTGTATCTTGGAGAGCCTTCCACGAGAGGATGCAAAGGCTTCCTCTATTTATTTATTTATTTCAGTAATTGGTGTGCTCAAGTGTACGTTTATCCTGACTTAGCTCAGGTTCACGTTTTCCTGGATATTTGCTGCCATGAATAATGTGTGTGTGTGTGTGTGTGTGTGTGTGTGTGTAGCTTTAAAGTTTACTCTGATCGGTGGGATTGCTCATCAAGATGTGCGTGCATTTGCAGTTTTGGGTGGGTGTGTCACGCCTTTAATCCTAGCACTCCAAAAGCAGAGGCACTAGGGTCAGGAAGGAGTTTGAGGTTGGTCTGAGCTGTACAACACCCTTTCTCCAAAACCATGCCCATCTCAGATTGATTTCTGTTAGTTAATAAAGAATATGTGAAGACTGCCATAAGATGTGTTCAAGCTTGTTCTCCGAATTCCCCCTCCATTGTCCACTACAAGCCCCGTGAGCTACACTTGTCTCAGGAGTGGGAGAGGCCAGGTGTGGAGGCACATGCCTTAGGCGCTGACTCAGATGTCTGTGAGTTAGAGAATAGCCAGGGCTATACAGTGAAACCCTGACTTAAAAAGAAAAAAAAAATGTGGGCTTCCCAGGAATCTGGTTCAGGTCAGGGAGTGGGTGGGGGTGGGGTGGGGGTGGCTCCCAGTCACAGGTCCCGTGTGACTCATGGCTAGCACTTGCCGCTGCCACTATGGTGAGGGGGATGCCCAATGAGCTATCAAAGTACAGTAGAGATATCCTAGGCTACAGTCATCCATCCTCGTGGAGAACATAACTCCAGGCCCTGTAAACTCTGGCCTCATAGCATCTATAGCTCGATTTGACCTTCAAGTTATGCCAATATCTTTTATATTCGGTGTAGCCTTGACTTGCGAGTATTCTAGTAGCCCCATCAGGGCCTTCTGTTCTTCCCGAACATTCTTCTGTGGTCCCTTTCTCTCTGTCACTTGTAGATGCTTTCCTTAGCTAAGCTGAAACGGATTCTCACTATGTCCGAACTGGGCACTGTTCTGAAAGCCCCGAGCCTTTTCTCTGTCATCTGGAGCCCCTCTTCTCTGCACATCTTAAATACACTCAGCTGCCAAGCAGCAAATCAGGTAGCAGGGACCAAGTCCCAGACCTTGCTGCTTCCCATCTTCAGTCTGGCCGACTTCCAGGCACACTCCAAGGTGTGAGCTGCCCTCCCCAGCAGACTGGGAGCTTTACAGATGTCTGAGCATGGTATGTGCTGTGGGCAGGCCCTCCTGGGGCCTCTAGCTCCATCTGTTGGCAATGGCTCAGCTCTTCTCTGTTGTCTGCTGGAGGCCAGAGCAATCTCTCTAACGTGTGGGTGTAATACCCTGGCTTTCCTATGGTTTGAGAATTCTTCTCAGGGATTAAGATTCCTGGCATTTTGCTCCGCTAGAACCTGAAAGTAGGGCCCAGGATTGTGTCTCTGCCCCAGTGTCCTCTTCAAGAGGCCACATAAAATCCCTAACCCGCGAGTGCCTTCCCTGCTTAGTGCCACCCTCACGTTTGTTAGTGTGTTAGTTCTATATTCTGCCTCACTAGGGAATGTGATTCTTCTTTTTTCCTCCACATCTATTGTTCTCCTGCTGGGTCCAAAGTGTAATAAATGTGGTCGTGCATTCCTACAATCCAGCACTCAGGAGGCTGATGTAGGAGGGTGGTGAGTTTGAGGCCAGCCTAGGCTACGTATTTCAAAAACAAAACCAAACCAACAAAACCCAAAACCAAAGCCCTCGACGATGAAGTCAAAATCTAATACATGACATTTTCACCAAAGCAACATCTTCTAGACAGAGATAACAATGACAGTAATGTGCCCGAGATGAAGGCCAACTTAGGACGTGGGGGGACACGCTGATCAGAGCAGAACAGGTGCAAGGAGGCTTAATGAAGAAGCACACTTCAGGGGACAGGTACAGAGCCTGAATTCTGAAAGAGAGGGTGAGAGAGACAGAGACAAAGACAGAGAGACAGACAGAGAGAGACACAGAGAGAGAGAGACAGAGAGACACATAGAGAGTGACAGGGAGACCCTGGCAAGGGGTTCTTTCTAAGGGTTAAGGGGAGCTACATGACCTGACTTCTGTCCAAGTGTGGGTCCAAGCTGGCCCCTCACTATCTTGTTTAGCAGTAAATGTTACAGCACAAATCATCATTCCTGATTGGAGCCAGGTGGGGTGAGGTGCACAGGCGATGTCACAGGCCACTGGAACTGGGTTCCAAGTAGTCAGGGTCTCATCATCAATGTGG